TTTAATTTATAAACTGTCCCCAGAGCATGGCATTTGTCCCTCATTTCAGCACTAGCGTAGCGAAGGGGGGCATGGGGGTCTATCATGTCCCGGGCACCATTCGCAGAGGGGCACCAAATGGTCTCCAAGACAAACAAGATTTGGGGGAGATGCGCCAAAAATGTGTCGGGCCCAGGGCGCCAGTCAGAAATGCAGTGGCCAGTTCGTTACGCCACTGCCTTTCAGATCATGTCTGGTACTGTTATAATACATGGTTGACAAGACTGCATATTGATTCATGTGAATATTAATTAATTTAAATACTGTACACTTATTGAGTCTAAGTGCTTTTTTCTATAATGTTTGCTAAAGTTATTACCCTGAAGTCATTATGTATGATTTATTTATCTTTATTCTTAAATACCGGAAGTACTAAATTGTGCGATAACTTTTCTACAAAGATTCTGCCCAAAAGATTTATTAATGAGGAAGTACGAAGGAGTAACAATTATATCCGCTATATTTTTAGATTGTTATTATATTCTTCATACAATAAATCTGCTATCCATCGTATTTGTTTTGAACAGAGATAGTTTATCAAATTCGATTGCATCTCGTTCGTTTGCGTTTTCTGGTTGGTAACAAGTTTATAACAGCATTAATAAACTTTTAAATAAAATATACAGTAGGCCTATGTAATTTATATTTATAAATATGATTTTACATTATTTATTAATATAATTTAATAATTATTTAATATTTATAAATATAACGTTGATGCATGACATTAACAGATTGTTAGGATCGATCCACCAATCAGCATGGGTCTCATTGCACTGTTGAGAAAATTGCAAATATGCACGCCGGACTGGAATCTCGTTTAGAGTTGCCAAACTTCAGGAATTCCCCTCAAATATGAAGAAAATGACCTGTTAAGAGAAAACATTGATAATTTGAAGATAAAGATTGTTTTTTGGGGAATTTTATTATATAGTATTTTAAAAGATGAAATGCCAAACTCTCCGCATCGTAACAGCATGCTCGATTGCCGTTTATGCACTTGCCTACTTGTCTAACCACATTGATATCGTAAGCTACCGGTATCTGTTAAGATTTTGCAGCGCTCTTTACCATCCTAACAATTAATTCTGTAACTAAATTTTTTTGTTTCCAATTTTATTTGAAATAAAAAAAGAAGTATCAATATGAAATATGACGTCATTCTGCTAATTCTCTTTTGAAATGCCAATTAATTAAGAACACTCCCGCTTAAAAAATACAGTATGCTCAAGACAAAAGTGGAAAGTCGTGTGTACGGTGTATCCAAATTACGATTAGTTGAGGAAATTTGTATACTTAATACTTAGGAAATTAACTCTTTGAGGAGTGAAATTCAAGTCAGGATGTCAACTTTGATCTGATCTCGATCTAGAACTTTCGTGAATTCAGATCCATCACAACAACAAAGTACGAGTAAAATTATTAAGTCAATTAATTTTAAGATATATATATCTATATTATAATATTATAATATATATATACAGTATATATTATATGGGTTGATGCATTCCGTTTTTTAGCACCAGATGGCTTTGCAGCACAACACTGAAGTGTTATTTCCTTCGCATGTGTAAAATTTTGATGATGTTTGACAAAAGGGATTTCAGCTAGTATTTGAGAATAAAGTTGTGTTACTTAGTTGTGTTTTTTAAATTTTATTAAGCATTAAAAATGGCAGAAAATAAGGAGCATTTTCGACATATATTATGCTTTTTTATTTCCGAAAAGGCAAGAATGCTTCGCAGACGCAAAAGAAGATATGTTCTGTGTATGGTGAGAGAGACATTGATGATTCTACATGCCGTAAGTGGTTCAGAAAGTTTCGTGAAAACAATTTTAATCGTAGAGATGCACCACGTTCTGGACGACCAGCCGAGGCTGATGACACCAAATATTGGCACTGATTGAAAGTGATCGACATAAAACAACTCAAGAGATCGGAGAAATTCTTGGAATCAGTCAACAATGTCAAGGCGATTACATCAACTTGGAATGGTTAGCAAGGCCGATGTATGGGTGCCGCATGAGTTAACGGAAAAAAATTTGATAGACCGAATTTCTGCTTGCGATTCTCTATTGAAGCGCAATGAAATTGATTCATTTTTAAAGCGGATGATTACAGATGATGAAAAATGGATTGTGTATAATAATGTTAAGCGTAAAAGATCATGGTGTAAGCATGGAGATGCCCATTCAACCAGCGCAAAAGCCAGTTTACATCCAAAGAAGGTTATGCCATGCATTTTGTGGGACTGGAAGGGAATTATTTATTATGATCTGTTACATGAAAATCGGACCATTAATTCAGAGAAATACTGTTCACAACTGAATGAATTAAAGCGAGCGATTGACCAGAAGCGACCTGAATTAGCGAACAGAAAGGGCATTGTTTTCCATCAAGACAACGCTAGACCACACGTGTCTTTGGCCACCCGACAAAAACTTTTACAACTTGATTGGGATGTTTTGGGTACTCTCCTGACCTTGCACCCTCTGACTATTATTCATTTAGATCACTTCAAAATAGTTTAGATGGTAAAAACTTTACTTTCTTGGAAGACTTGAAAAAATCACTTGGATCAGTTTTTTAGCCAGAAATCTCAGAACTTCTATGAGCACAGACTTATGCAGCTACCGAAAAGATGGAGAAAGGTCATCGAACAGAATGGCACATACTATATTGATTAAATGTAATTTTTAGTAAATAAAATTTTTCCTTAGTTCTTTTCAAAAAAACGGGACGAACTTTTACATTTTACCAAGCCCATGATGGGTTCGACCAGGCCCAGAAAGGGGAAGTCGGATGGTAAGAATCGAGGGCCAGCTAAGAATGGGCGAGTTCGAGTCCATGGAATTTCTGGATCGAGACAAGATTCGAGTCCCGCGATGAACTGGAGACTCCATATGACATCTTACCAATGTTTCTAGTATAAAAATTCTAAAATCGCTTATTTTCGCTTTAACAATATCCGTAATCTAAAATCAGTCAGTACAGTAATAATTTCAATCAAAATCTATTGTTATTTTAAATATAATATCCCTGCCGACTGGTTGGTCGAAGCGGTTAAGGCGTCACCTATCGCTCTGAGAACTCAAGATTCGATGGCTGGATGGCCGAGCGGTCAAGGTTGTAACCTACCACTCTGGGGACCCTGGATTGAATCCGGACGGGTCATAATCTCCAGGAATTTTTTGAGGGTGGTCCGTTCGGATATGTCGGCCCCGTCCCTCACCGCGTGGCTGCCCCATTGTGGACTTGACCGAACCCGTAATGGGCTTGCAAAAATAGGCCTTCTTAGTGCCCAAAGGATGGAAAGAGTTAAAAAAGACGCATTTATGCTAACATCGCATATTTGACAGTTCCACTTCTCTATAGTCCTTCGGAGAGGTGGAGAACTTTGAACTTGGGCGTAGCCCCGGGGCGGACGAGATGGGATCGCTGGGCGAAGTGGATGATCGGTGAGATGGTGCTGCAGTGTTCTAGGTGATAACACAACACAACTTAATAGTCACGACTTTTGGCTTAAAAGCATAATACAAACATGTAATTAACTAAGTAAAATCGTAATATCACAAAACTAGCGAATAAAATTAAAGAAACAGACAGAAAATGAAACATTTATGTGAGGACCAGAAATTTTGTGTTTTAAACTATAATTTTTTTTTAATAAACTTTATAAAGACGGAACGAGAAAACAGAAAATTAAAAGAGAAAAAGGAAAAATAAAATCAATAAAAACTCGATTCTCACGAGTTGGGTTCCTTGTTGAGATGAGTACATTTCTGTGTCACGATTGTGTCACCCGTCCCCTCATTGGACCAAGAAGATCGTCATCGCTGACNTCATGCATTACCACACTGTTTATCCAATTGCCATGAAACTGGGAAGTTGTTTAATATACTCCCGCAAAGGTTTCTGGCATAGTACGATTACCATGAAGTTTTGGAAAGTTTTTTAATACACTCCTACAAAGGTTTCTGGCATAGTGCATTTATCCTACGATAGATGGCGCGCATTTATACTGTGTGTTGAATCGATTTCAAATTGTGAAGACCATTTCTCCCGTTCAAAAAATATCTCTATATATGCATTTGTGAACTGTTATTTACGATATTTGTAATAATTTTTGTTTAATCACTTTATTTCAACTATTTTTTGCTAATTATGTATTCGCTTGAACTTTGTTAAAACCTTAAGTGTATCCCAAACAACAACCGAAGTTGTAAGAGGAAATTCGCCTATTTTACCGATCTAGGGATCCCCTTTTCCAAATTTTAATATTGACTCAAAATAATTAAAAAGACAAATTACAATAAACCAGTTTATTATCCAACTATCAGAAATTTCAATGTGCCAAGGAAGAGAAGAAGGAGCAATTAAATAATTAAAATTGTAAATGATTAAAAATATATATATAAAAATAGGGAATATCGCACTTCTGACAATCGCTGCAAGTGTGTGGGCTAGATTTGGAGAATCCGTGCTTCTCGAATGGACAACAGTATGTGGTATGCGTCGGAAAACCTTCCGATTTATTCGTGTACACACCAGACAGAAAAACAAAAAATATCGTGTATCCATGAGCACTCCAATAAATAAATAGAATTGAAACAACACTTTGAAATGTTTTTCCGATGAAAATTAATAATAATAAGTTACAATAAAAATGATAAAATGTAAATTGAATTTTATTATAACGAGTTTGCTTGAATTTCGTTTCTTCTGAGATCGCAGCATTGCGCGATGGGTAAGCTAGTTAGTTTATAAAGAAACAGTTTTAAGATATTTCATAATTCTGTAATTTTATTTAACTGCTTAAAAATAATATAAGTTGTATAATAAAATATCCTTTGTAATTAAATTGTAATTTGTAATTAAATTTGCTTAATTTGTAGCATAGTAGATTTGAATCCACTTATAGTGCCAGACTAACTTATCTGATATAAAATTGTAATTAAAAACATCTTAAATTTTATTTCAGCAAAATCTGAACTAACAAAGAGTTCAACTTATCAACGTTTAGTAAATCTCTATCAAAAAAGAGGATTTAGAGCATTATTTACTGGTAAGTTTTATTATTAAAGTGTGATCCAAGATGTATTTTATGAAAACTTTACTATATAATCACAAAAAAACTTTTACGATATAAGCGTTAAATTAAACACGTATGTCACTAAATTGACGAGCGCTTCGACGATACACACTTTCATCTTCTTCAGGTCATTGGAAGATATAAGAACCTTTTTTGAATACAAAATTTTTAAAAACATTCCAATCTTAACTAATATTTTGGAATACCAGCAATGGTAGAATATAAAAAGATATTTAAATAAAAAGCACACACGTTTATACTGTGCATGTGCTAGACGCCTCTATATTGTGGATTTAATTGCGATGTTTTATATAACTGTACAAGCTGATCCACAAAGGGGGCAAATCCAGTGTGGGGGTGTTGCAGGGCCTTAATACTTAACGCTTATATCGTAAAAGTTTTTTTTGTAATAAATGATTAGCATGCTGTCCATCACTATACTATATAATCAATTAGCCAAAAAAAGAACACTTATTAAATGTTTTAGTTTATAACCTGTGGAAAGAATTGATGTAATTTGAATAATAACAGAAGAAAATGTACTTCTTTAATCTTCCAATAATGCATATGTATTATACAGTACAGTAATACCTCAACTTACGCGAACTCTGAGTTATGCGATTTTCAAATCTCTTCGATTCGTCTTTTGTTTTAGTGCCACGCAACTCTTGATTACTCACTCCCCCCACACTATTATTCAGCTTACATGTTCAGACGTGTCGCGTGGAATCGACACGTAGCTACAATTTATTTTGTGTTATTTATTTCTGTGTTTGTTATGTCTACGGAGACTTGAGAGACTTTATGTGGTGATTTCTTGTAACCGTGAATGAATCAAATGACGAGATAAGATTAACGAGAACATTTATTAGTTTACATGCATCCGACTTGGATTTTACACAAATTGCGAAATTATACCCCAACTTATGCGAATTCGACTTATGCGGTTATTGCTCAGTCCCACCTATCATGTAAGTTTGGGGTATTACTGTATATGCAAACACAAATTACAATTGTAATCCATTCTGAAATTATAATTTACATGTAGATTGACCACCAATTTTCTGATACCTTTTAATCCAGACAAAATACATATGTGGATTAGAGATGTAATCTATTAGACCTTGAAATTGAGTTATGACCTCCCGTGGTCATAACTCAATTTTTTTTCCAGTAATTATGGTAATTCTTTTATTATTTACAATTCTTCTGTAAAGGAACAAGAAATACTCTAGTGCGGGTATATCAAATACATATAATCTAAAGTATTTTTATATGAATATTGATACAATAGTGGTTGATTATTTTCATTTAGGGTCTTTATAATTTTTTTACAGTAACACTATTAAGTTTTTGTGGAAATATTATAATTAAATTTTACAAAGTTCAAATTGGTCTTATTTTTAATATCTCATGAATAATAATATGTTTAATAATATTGTACTACATTGGATTAAATGAAAACACAGACTGCAACAATAAAAATTTACAAATGAAACATGCATGGGCATTAATCTTTAATATAATTTCCACTGTGTTCTATGGAATTTCTTCAGTTCCTGTAAGAAGACTTTTGACTACTGTTGCAGCCAGTGATGCATCATTCATTACTTGTCTTTGTTAGATATGAATTGTCACCTCTAAAGAGTTTTCTTCTGGAACCCAAAGATGTGAAAGTCAGTAGGAGACAAGGTCAAGAGAATATTGTGCTTGTAGAAGAACACATCCACAATATTCTTACGAGCTGTTTGAGGATTTTCTAGCTATCAGTAGATTGTCTTTTGTTGCAAATTACAGACATCAGTTGCTGTCATTTTCTCATAAAAGCTCATTGACATTTGCAATGGTTGGTATTGTCAACATACAATGTGCATGTCCAATTGCAGTACTTTAGCAATATTTGCACAGCTTCATATATTACTGACATTCTTCAGAAGATTTCTGCTGGTTTTGTACCTTCTGCAACAAGGAATCATACAACAGAGTGCATTTCTTCTTTGGTGTGTCTATTTCAGTGCCATCATCATTTTAGAATGTACAATTTCACAATGGTGGCCAGATAATGCAACATATTCAACTGCAATGCTAGACAAATTTTTCTCTCATGGCATTCTATATCTATTGTTCAGCTGTTATGTTATGAGGTACTAGTCCAGTTTTTATTTGATCCACTGTAGTATAATAATAATGATATATATGAAACATTTACATGCTTGTCATTATTATATATAAAATATTTTGTTTAGAGAAGATGAATTTGATGATTGTTTTTTATATTTTAGGCATAGTTCCCCGTGTGGTGAAAGTAGCTCCTGCATGTGCAATTATGATAAGTACTTATGAATTTGGGAAACATTTTTTTCGCCAGTTTAATTCCAGCAAAACAAATAACGATTTTTGAAATTATCGTTTATCTGTGATTAGAATTTATTAATAATTTATGAAAGTCAATTATTTAAAGTTATAAGGTAGACATGATCTAAGTATGAAATATCACTTTTGCTTATAACTGTTTATCATATGTCCTTAAAATATAAACATATGATAACAAAAACATATTCATAGTGGATGTAACAATTTCTTTAATGTTGATTTTGTCTGAAAATACATTGTCATGTATTTTAAGTGATATGACTGTACATATTTATGAAATGGCAAATATAAATGCAAAACATGATATCATACAGTACAATCTTTTATATGTATTTAGACCTTCCTAGATAGATTTAATGTATAGTATAACAATGGTAATATACTATTAGAACTTTCCAATATTAAATTTATTATGAGGTGATTTAGGAATTTAAAGATGTAATGCAATATATATATTTTCCTTCAGATTAAATTTAAAATATTTTGTTTTCAAATAACCAGCCTTTGAACTTTCATATGTAAATAATAACCATTATTTTTTACAATGTATTCTGTATTATGCTTATTTTTCAAAACGTTTTGGAGGATACTGAATGATTAAATAAACATATTTAAAAACAGTTTAATCGACTAGATTGTTTTTAAACATTTCTTTGTGTAGAATGATTTTTTGTTTGAGCTATAATTATTAAAAATGGGAAAGGTAATCATTGTAAAAAAAACCCAGCAACAAGTTGCTCAACTTTCCAGGCAACATTTAGCGGACTCATCTGTTATCATCATTTATTTAAAAATTTTTATATTTTTAACGATTGTAAAATGGCAAAAAGCTTCATTTTGAGGGTAACGATGGGTTTTATAAAAAAAAACTAAATGCCAATAACCAGTAAAATCGTCATGAAATCTTACCCTATTTGAGATACATATGACCCCCATTCCTTTCCTACCCTCTCGACTTTTAATCACCAAAATTTAATTTAACCATCAATCCCCCCTAACAAACAAACAAACAAACCTCCAAAATTTCAGAATTCTTCGATAAAAAACTCTGAAGTTGTTATGCTTCATACACAGTGAACAAAATCGTGCTCCCCTACACACTAACATCCGTACATACGAAAAGTACTCCCGAATTTTTTTGCATTTCTCGACGTTTCAAAGTGTCCTAAGTCCAAAAATGAAAAATCTTGGTCATTTTTTGCCATATTGCCATACTTTCCATCTATATAACAGCTGGGAAAGTAAAAAATCAAATTGAGTAAACCTGTGTATATATAATTTACTAATTGTTTTTTGAAGTAAACCCATTAAGTGAAAGTTTAAGGGTTAAAAAAGGATCCCGACTTCGAATTAGAATTTTGAGTTAATATGTTTAATATCAATTTTCTCAAATTTTCTGTTACCAATACTTTTCTCAAGTATCTGTTCACAGAATGATTACAAAAATAGTTTGACGCATTCAGTATGTTGTCAAGGCACTATATTGGGACACAAAGGCCCCTTTCCTCGTTCCAATAGCTGCATAGTGGAACAGAAGAATTCAAAGTTATCATTAAATCACAGAGACTTGTAATTGATTTCTAAAATAAACTTTACTTTGTAGTGGTGTATGTAAACAGTTTAAAATTGAAATTTGTTATACACAACAAATTTCAAATTGTTCACATAAAAATGTCAGCTTGTCCTATACTCATCAACTGATTTGTGTGGCATAACTTCAGTTGAGAAAATTCTGTTAATTAATAATTTGAATTTTTTGTCGTTTTGTTCGCTGGACATTAATTCAAAAGAAATTACAGGACATGTACTTAACCAATTTCGACTTTCAGAAACTCTGCTTCTATTTTGCATGTCTTCCTCCAATGATATTTAAAGTTGATTTGAAGCAGGTAATTTCTTCAAATGTTTTGGATTATCTTATTGGTATTCCGTTCATTTTGAAAACTAAGCTCAATTTTTGTTTTTATGCCAGAACTTCTTATAACATTAATGAGATTTTTTCGTGTTACGGACATGTTGGAACTCTACCGAAAGCAAATGCATTGAATGGGTATTATCACGCTTTACGTGCAAGTATATACTGTATATTTACATTACCAACAACACCTACATTATGAATGGTATATTCGGTAAACACACAGGACGCAAGCCGATGTTATATGTTTCGTAGAAAGAATATATAAAAAAAAAAGCAAATATGAACAAAAACAATTATGAATTGTATAATAATCATTGTTAAACAGCAAAAATTAAGAGATTAGAGGAGTTGGGCGTCTATACACGTTCGGTTTATCGGGCGGCATATGGTGTTGTTCACTTTAGTAATAATTTCGAGGTCAAATTTTTCCCAACTTTCAAGACTGCTTCATTGTGCACCGGTAACGTACTGTATCAAAGGATGTTGACATAACGTTGTAAATTTAAAACGAGCAGAAATTATTGAGACATCGTTGCAATGCCAGGCTGCAATTTTTAATTTAAAATATATGTTCCTGGTTTTAGTAGTGCCGTGCCCCTCCATCGTATATTACACTTTTCCTGATAACGACAAGGTCATCAGTCATCTAACTCTATTCTGGAGAAAATTTTTGCATTGAAATCACATTGCTTCTGATACAGACCAGAAGTTCGTATATAGTTAGTCAGGTCCTCTTGCCCCTAAGCTTCCACATCTGGACTCTACTTTCATCTACCTAACTCCGTTCTCGAGATTAAGGAAGGACAGACAACGGGTGCCAGTGCGAATATATAGCTGTGCAATCTGAAAATTGCAGCCCAATAAATATAACCAATGCTTTTTCCCTCTCTTAATTCCCAAAGCCAATGTTTTCCAAGTTTTGACTACAATATATCCGTTCTTAAAATTTCGCAAGTACTAAGCACCCCATGTGAAAAAAAAACTTTTGCAAACTACTTATTACAAGTCGAGTATGAGAATTCATAATATGATTTCTTGTGAATTATATATATAATTATTTTGTTCAGTATATTTGTTAATACTATGCGTCAGTGGTGCATAGCCAAAAATTGCCGCACACCCTGGAGTTAAGCATACTACACTTTGGGAAACACTGCATAAAATTATTACTGATTTTTTTATGGATAAAATAACTTGGAATAGAATGCCTGTTAAATTAAATTTAAAAGAGTGTATTGTCATGATTTTAAAATTTTCAGTTATTCAGAACGTAGGATACAAACAGATGGAGCGTTTCCGTGGAATCAGCAGAAATAAACCACTGTTTACACCTAGTAACCGTCGATTCAATGACACTTCAGTGCGTGCATAGAGCCGGAAGCCGGAAAGCTACTATTTTGAACAATATAGATTTCACGTCTGGAACACACTTGCCAGTACGGAACAAATATGGACTCGACGACCTGTCTATTTTACTCGTAATGCTGCTGTTGGTGGCGAATGATTATCAGTTCACTCGCCACTGTTTATCTTATAACTATAATTATAAATTTAGACTTGGTTATTACAATACCTTATTGATTATTGGTAAAATAAATTCATAAGGATACGGATTTATTCTAGCAGACATTTACGAATTTAAAATATCTAAATTTTAAAATTATCCAAGGTTACTAAGACAAAAGTCAATCACTCTGGCGGACCTGGGATCGAATCCGGGTGAACATCCCAGGAATTTTTCATGCACGATTTACTCAGATACGTCGGGCCAGGTTTCTCACCATCCGGCCAAACCCCGAGCCTGGAAAAAGGCCTAATTATCTACAGGACAAAGAGTCAAATAAAACGGAATAGATTTGTTCGACAAATGCCACATCGTTATAATATGTAAATTAAACTTGTTTTGTATTGCAAGATTTTGTTGGTATATTGATTTCTAGATGAAGTGTGCGATTTTATCTTGTGTAGGTAATAATTGAGAATAGTTATTATTTTAAAAAATTCTGCATAAATTAAAATAAAACGAAAGAAATTTGCATAAAACTTCGTCTTCTAAGTTATTTCGATTTTAACATTATCAAAAAATAACCGTATCTTAAAATCGAGATGGGTTGATAATGATGATAAAAAGAGCAAAGCTCAAACAGGAGTTGAAAGTTGAAATTTGGTACACAGGTACAGTACATCATGAGAACGTACACTAAGAAGGGATTTTTCGAAATTCCCCCCTCAGGGAAGAGGGACAGGATTAAGTCTTACCCCGAAGAACTCGGCTTCTACTGTACTAATAGATGCTTTTTTTGCATTTATGCTGGATATCGAACATATTTTTAGACCCTTCTAAAATTTCTCAACTATACTTAGTGTTCCATCGTATATACCAGTAAAGTTGACATGGGGAGCGCATAAGTTCGCTTTATTCGAACTTTTCGTCTTAATGTTCGAATTTATATTTATGAATGATTCTGGAAGATCCAGCTTATTTTTCGAATTTATTAAACCTGAAGAACCCAGAAAGAGTTACGAAAACGTTTATTATTCATCACTTAGTGTACTACGCACTGGTTAATGGTTAGAATTAGTCTTATTTATCGATATATCGGTGTGGTAAGCCGATATCTAAAAATTCTCTAATTAGTCTCGGAAGAGGGGGACCTAATTCTTGCTCTCGGTGAAAACGGGTGAAAGATCGGCTATCATTTAATAATCTTAATCTTTGCTATCGTTACTTTTCGTCCGAGCAATGCCGGGCTCATCTGCTAGTAAGTTATATAACCGATTTTTGTCAAAATTAGAATAATTGATAATGGCAATTTTCTAAAAGTAAATATAGTAGTCCCGAAAACTCTGCACTCGATAACCCGGCAGTCCGGATAACTCGGCCACACCCTGGCAGGGCAAAAAAATCCTTAGTTAATTAATTTTCTTTATAGACAGCTTTATACCTCATAAAGTATTTTTCTGAGGTCTGTCTTATCAGGTAAATTACTGTACACAGTGTATTCATTAATTTTCATTTTCATGTAGTAAAGCAGGGGTGGCCAACATGAGGCCCGCGGGCCGCATGCGGCCCGCCGGGAGTCGTGTTGCGGCCCGCAGAGCTAGGTCAAATGAACATAAATGTTAACTTTATTGTTCATATCACCAAATGAACATTAGAAGAGTTAAGAAGGTTTGGAAGAGTTCTATGAAACGTATTTGGACAAGGATAAATATCCTGCGTTTTACAAACATGCTCTATCGATGGTTTCGCTATGTGGAAACACTTATGCATGTGAACAACTTTTTAGTCGCATGAAGTACATGTACATCAAATCACAAGTCAGAACACGAATTACTGATGTTCATTTGGAAAACTGTTTGCGTGTAGCGACATCAGTCAAGATAAATTTTGATGCACTTAGTTCTGTAAAACAAATATGACTCACTTATAAATATTTTTAAATTGTCTAATAAATATGTTTGATTCTCGGTTATGTTTTATTTTCTTCAAAAAAATAAATATACCTATTTTTTGTGTTGTTTTACATTAAACCAGGCAAGTGTTTGGCCACGATCTCAGCTACTGGAAAGCAACGATGTGGTTGAAGCTGTAGCACGCTTGCTTGTTTACTTTAATTAACAAAAATAATATTAGGTGAGTGAGTGGCCCGGCAGGAAATATTATTTCTAAAGTTTGGCCCGCCTGCTAAAAAGGTTGGC